CCCCTCCCCGCCCCGCTGATCTCCTGGTGACCCACAGATCCTGGTGCTGCGGAACCACGGGGTGCTGGCGCTGGGGGACACGGCCGAGGAGGCCTTTTACAGCATCTTCCACCTGCAGGCAGCCTGCGAGGTCCAGGTGAGTGCAGGGCGTGTGATGAGCTGTGTGTGGGCTCAGCTGACGGCCTGGTGACCCTGGCAATGGACACTGAGCTGTGTACGGCCTCAGCCAACACCACGGTACCCCAGGAATGAGCGCTGAGCTGTGTGTGGGCTCAGCTGCAGCCACAGGCCCCAGGACCACGCACTGAGCTGTGCCAGGTCTCTGCCACCACCATGGGGCCCTGGCCATGAGTGAAGCTGTGCCAGGCCTCAGCCACCAGCCCAGCGCCTCGAGACTCTGCACTGAGCTGTGCTGGGTCTCTGCAGTCAGTGCAATGTCCTGGGTCTGTGAGCTGAGCTGTGCCAGGTCTCTGCTGCCAGAACAGTGCCCTGGGCCCGTGCACTGAGCTGTGTATCATCTCACCCCCTGCTGCAGTGCCCCATGACCAGATCTCTACCACTTGCACAGTGCCCCAGGACCATGCACTGAGCTACACCAGATCTCTGCAGTCAGTGCAGTGTTCTGGGTCCATGCACTGAGCTGTACCAGGTCTCTGCAGTCAGTGCAGTGTTCTGGGTCCATGCACTGAGCTGTGCCAGGTCTCTGCAGTCAGTGCAGTGTTCTGGGTCCATGCACTGAGCTGTACCAGGTCTCTGCAGTCAGTGCAGTGTTCTGGGTCCATGCACTGAGCTGTGTGCGGTCTCAGCCCCGGCAGTGCCCAGCACAGGGGCCGTGGGCAGGGCTGGGGCTGCCCCCGTGCCCCCTGCCCTCACCCTGCCCCTCGCCCCGGGCAGGTGTCAGCGCTGGCGAGCGCGGGCGGCGCCGAGAACCTGATCGTGCTGGAGGGGGCGAAGCAGCGGGTGCCCCACGGCCCCGGCGCCCTGCGCCGCGCCGGCACCACCTTCGGGCCCCTGCACAAGAGCCGCCTGGGCGAGCACGAGTTCGAGGCCCTCATGAGGATGTTGGACAACCTGGTGAGCACCCAAACCACCGAACCCCCCCGGGCCCCCTGAACCACGCTCGGACACCTCTTTGTCGCCCCTGCCTTGACGCCTCCCCGCTCTCTGCTCCCCAGGGGTACCGCACGGGCTACACGTACCGCTACCCCTTCGTGCAGGAGAAGAGCAAGCCCAAGAGCGACGTGCTCATCCCGGCCACCGTGACGGCCTTCGTGTTCGAGGAGGAGCCCGCCGGGACCCCCGCGCTGCGCCAGCACGCCCAGAAGCAGCAGAAGGAGAAGACGAGGTGGCTCAACACCCCCAACACCTACACCAGGGTCAGCCTGGCCGAGGAGCCGCAGGGCAGCGCCGGCAGCCAGAGGACAAAGACCACGGTGAGGGGCAGATGCGGCTGCACAGGGCCGTTGGGGATGTTTGGGAAGGGATTTGTCTCGGGAATGATGACAGGTGGGGTGTGGGGGGTCCCAGGTAGGGGTGGCTGGGATGTTACTGATCCTGCTAAAATTTGCAAGGCCCAAGGATCCACCCTCAGCTCATAATAATGGTTAGTTTGAAATCCCACCACCCCTTTTTGGGGGACTGAGAGCCATTGGCTTTGTGGGGGTCTGCCTCTATTACTGGAGTCTCCCCTTTATGCAAAATGCATTTCTTGGGGTCTGCCCTCTATGTAAAATGAGTTTATTGTGGTCTTCCCACATTTATTGGTGTCTTCCTTCTATCTAAGTTGAGTTTATTTGGGTCTCTCTACATTTATTGGAGTCTCCTCTCTACTATCAGTGTCTCCCCCCTACACAAGGTGCATTTGTCAGGGTCTTCCCACATTTATCAGGATCTCCCCTCTATGTAAAATGCATTTATTGGCATCTCCCCTCTACTACTGGGGTCTTTCCTCTATGTAAGGTGCATGTGTCAGGGTCTCCCCCCTGTACAAGGTGCATTTACTGTGTCTCCCCTCTACACTGGGGTCTCCCCTTTGCACAAGTTGCATTTATCAGGGTCTCCCTGCACTTCTTGTGTCTCCCCTCTATTATCGGGGTCTCCTTTCTGTTATTGGGGTCTCCCCCTTCCCAACACACCTTTTCTGGGGTTCCCTCCCTGCTGCTGCAGTGGCTGCGAGCGGACGAGGTGGAGAAGGGCAGCAGTGGGACCCCCATTCGCATCGAGAACCCCAACCAGTTCGTGCCCCTCTACACGGACCCGCAGGAGGTGCTGGAGATGCGCAACAAGGTGCGGCCCCGCGGGGCTGGGATGGGGGCACGGGGGGGATCTACCCCCATCCTCAGGGGGATTCAGCCCTGTCCTCACCCTCAGATCCGGGAGCAAAACCGCCAGGACGTGAAGTCAGCCGGGCCCCAGTCGCAGCTGCTGGCCAGTGTCATCGCCGAGAGCAGCCGCAGCCCCGTAGGCACCGAGTCACCCTGTGTCACCCTGTGTCACCTTGTGCCATCCTGTGTCACCCTGTGTCACCCTGTGTCACCCTGTGTCACCTTGTGTCACCCTGTGTCACCCTGTGTCCCCAGCCCCATGTCACCTTGTGTCCCCAGCCCATGTGACCCTGTGTCACCCTGTGTCCTCAGCCCGGTGTCACCCCATGTCCCCAGTCCCACACCACCCTGTGTCCCCAGCCCTGTGTCACCCCAAATCCCTGGTCACAGCTCTGACCAGCATTGTCACCAAGACCAACCACAGTCCCACACATGGCACTGTGTCACCTCATGCCACACTGTGTCCCCAGCCCTGCACCCCCAGCCCCATGTCACCCTGTGTCACCCCATGTCACCTAATGTCGCCAGCCCCATGCCACCCCATATTCCTGGTCCAATGTCACCCAATGTCCCCAGCCCCATGTCCCCACACATCCCCCTCCTTAGATCACCAGCCCTTCCCTCCCCAGCATTCCACTGGTGAAGGGGGTGACACCACTCCAGAGGGGTGACACTGCTGTGGAGGGGGTGACACCACCCTGGAGGAGGCTGATGGTGCTCTGAGGGAGGATGTGACCCCACTCTGGAGGGGGTGACACTGTTCCAGGGGGACTGACCTCACTGGGGGGGTCTGTTCCAGTCCACCGAGAGCCACCTGGGGGACGCGGAGGCCAAGGAGGGCTCCCGGGAAGAGGCTCCCCCTGAGCCAGAGCCCCCCAACCCCTTCAGCCAGCTCACGGACCAGGAGCTGGAGGAGTACAGGCAGGAGGTGGAGAGG